AGAATTTTTGATCATGGCTAGTTGGGGGTCCTGTATGCCTGACTTAATCTTATTTTGCTCTGTTTGGTTAGTTTTCTTTCATTAATTCTGTAAACACTTTTAAAAATGTCATTTGTAGTTTCTCCTGCTTTTTCATGGATTATCGGTCTTATATTTTTCTTCTTTGTGTCATCTAGTAGATGTTGAAATGATTTCTCATGTTCCCTTACTGTTGTTAAGAGATCCCTCTTTTCATAGTCACTGACTGTCATCCTGTCTTTTTTTCTTTTATTGAGTTCATTGGTACATTTTAGATATACAGTACAGTTATATTCATTATTGGGATCTAGTACCTTACATGACAAGTGGTCTTTTTTCTCATATTTTCCCCATTGTCTCTGCCCTCCCTTTGCCCCCTCCTCCCCTCCCCATTTACAAACACTTTATTTCCATCATTTCATTTTCTCACATTTTTTCTTTTCCCTTATTACCTTTCCCCTACCCTTCCCACTTTCCCTACACCTTTAGCACTTTTGTTCCCATTTCACAATGTCAGTTATCTCATTAGGATCTTATGTACTATTACAGTTTATTCACACCAGAGAAACTATTCGTTATTTACACACATGTGACTTATTTATTTCACTTAGGAGTATATCCTCAATATGTATCCATTTTCCTATGAATGAATCTAATTTCTCATCCATCCTGTCTTTTATATCTGATATCCTGTCTTCAGATTGCATCAGTCTGTTATGTATGCTTTCCATAGAGTCTCTTTTAATATCCTAGATATCACTTTGAGTCTGTTTTGTGTATTCCATTATTTTCCTATGTTGGGCATTCATGTTTTCCATTTCTTTCCTACTCTGGGCATTCATGGCTTCTGTCATGGTCCTGAACTCATGTATTTTTTAATCTGTTTGTGTTCTAGGGTCTCTAATCATGTCTTTCACTCTGCTACCTTCTATGTAGTTATCTGGGGTAATTATTTACTTTGAATTTTTTTACATCCTCATTCATCTATTTTCTTACTTCCTGTGCTATCAGTTCAGGGTGCTCAGGTGATTGATTATCAGTTTTCCACCTCCTTTCACCCAGTATTTGGCTTTGGTGAGCTGGCAGCCTGTGTTTGTGCTTGTGCCTTGCTTGAATATCTTCTAATTTGTATTTTTAAAAATTTTTATTTTATTTTGATTTTTTTGGTACAAGGAATCAAACTCAGGCCCTTGTGTTTGTGAATCAGGTGGCAGAACCAATGAGGAGAATCCCTGGCCCTTCTCATTTCTGTTTCTGTTGTTGGTACTGTCCTTGATTTGTTATCTGGGTTAATACTTTGATCTTCCTGTTATAGTTTGTCTTTAGGTTATGAGTCTTTAATGATTCTGAGGCAATCTCATTTTCACTATAATAGGAAGGACATCTGATTATATCCATCACAACACCTTAGGCTAAATAATACAAACAGCAACATAATAGCATCAAGTACATCTTAGAAAATGACAATTTGTGGTAGTTGCTAACCTTTTATCATGTGAAGTAAATAAAACTCCAGGCTGGAGTTCATGATAATGGCCTTTATGATCCTCTGTGCTTCTGTGGTGTGAATCCAGGCACCAGCACAGCCAGGAGGCCAGCGGCTTGGTGGGGTTGGCCAATTGTGGTGCAGCTGCAGGTGCCTGCAAGGCTCTTTCACTGGTCCATCCCCCAGGCCTGGTGTGTAAGAGTTGGGGTAGCATCCCAGTTACACATGGCTCTGCCTCTTACCAGTCTGCTTACTAGTTTGTATGGAGATGCAGAGATTTCACTTTTTCATGGAGGAGGTCTAGGTCCCCAGGGAGCAACAGCTGTGAGAAGTGTGGGGAAGAAAGTGTCAAGAAGAGCAGAGGACATAGGGAGGTTGGCTGAGGCCAGAGAAGGAGCAAGGAAGAGTGGTCTATGAAAGGTGTTTTTCCCACCAGAATCAAAATCCCTGCAACAACAACATAATTGTTTTATATTTATTGTTTTCAACAGTCTTCTGTACTTGCTAATGGTCTTTGACCATAAACTTTCTTATGATTAGGATTAGCTTTCTATGATACTACAATTAATCTGTATCTTTAAAATGTTAAAAATTCCTGATCATTTTTAGGATGAGGTGGAAGCATGCTTCCAGAAATATTACAAATACAATTATTTTTTAACTCTATTTTATATTATGATGGCACAGAAACATTATTTATTTAAACCTTTATATAATTAAGGCACAAAAAACTCAGCCCCATATTTTAAACATCACATAGACCACATTTCTTATTTAAAATGTTTTTTTAAGCAAATGTAGCTGCATTTGTTTATGATATACCATATTATACATTACAGTTGTAACTTGGGTGTTGATTAACACATGATCCTTGGGTTCTTGATCACAGCAAACGTTTACCATGGTCTTTACTTTTTGGCTTTAGTTTCTTTGAGACAGAGTCTCTCTCATGTGTAGTTTGGACTGGACTTGGATTCACTGTGCTGCCCAGGCTGGCCTTCACTTCACAATAATCCTGCTTCAGCCTCCCAATTGCTGGGATTACAGGCATGTGTCACTCTCTCTTGTGGCTTCTCACATGCAGAGAACCTCTGAACCTTCTCTTTAGCTATTTTGAATAGTATTATACAATATTGTTAACTGTGGTCCACATTTGTGTTGTATGACACGGCATTCAATATATATATATATATATATATTTTCAATATTCTTTCAAAACAGTTTATTCTAAATCGTTTCATAGAGCACAAGGAAATAAAAGGAGTATGTGTAGCCTTACAGGAAATAAACAAAGAGCAGAGGAGGGCTGAGTCTAGGGTCTTGACAAATGCATTCCCTGGGGTGGAGGGGTGGTTTTAAGGGAAACCAGAAAATTCAGTGAGTCTCTGCAAACAATAGCACAACAAAAAAAAAGTTCTGTGGTAGACAACAGAAAAAGTTCTGGGACATTGGATCCATGCTCCTGTGATGCTACTTTCATAACGCTGCAGCCAAGGTCAAATGTCTCACATGGGGAAAAGGCCTGCCTCCCTGGAGATGGCATGCACATAGGAGTCCCTCATTCAGGCAAGACCCACATTGGAGGGTCCATTGAGGGCTGAATGCCAGGAGAAGGGGCCATCATGCCTGGAGCGTGTGTCCATTGGCCCATAGGTGGGAGGGAATGCCCATAACCATGCGGGTGCTATGTCGAGGCCCATGTAATACTGCCTGCGGCTGCAGCTGCCACATTTCCTCTTCTTTGTGGGGTCATCACCTCTTGGGAAGGCCTACCCACACCGTGGACTGTCCCAACACATCCTTCAGGATCCTGTGGTGTGGAAGGCCCAGGCAGTATGCCTCTACCAGCAGCTCTACTGATTCTTGGGCCCCAGTAGCTATAGCAAGGGGTACTTGGACAGTGCCGGTCCCTTTGGTAGGACTTTCTACTATCACTGGGGTTCTCTCCCTTCATAGCAGCACCATAATGAGGATCGGTTTCTCCTCCCTTTCTGTTTGTTTAGAATCCTTTGGTTTGATCTTCCTGAAGCCATCACAGTCACACGGGAACAAATTCACATGTTTATTGACAGCCTGGAGTAGTGAAGAGGTGGGCTTGCAGAATGTACCTCATCCTGTATTTAGTGTGCTAGAGAAACTTGTTATTCTGCCCACCATCCTAGTTGTGGTTCTGATGGCTTGGATTGCTGCCAGACTCACCTTCCCACAGGCCTAGATGGATCAAGCAGTCTGTTTCTTGCTAGTACTACTGGAAGTTCTGCTGCTAGTAAAATGCACCAGTGGTATATTGAAGTGGATCTTCCTGACAACACAGGGATCAGTTGCCAGCCAGTTTCTCTGCCCTACTCACTTTTGACAAGCTATTCCACTTCACAGTAAACAAACATTTTCCTATGTGAATATTACGAAAGAGCACTGCTCTGTTTGCTTCAGCAGCAAGTATACTAAAGAGCACTGCTGTGTGGTGAAAACTCCCCGGGAAAACACGGGAGACTGAAAAGGCATCGTGTGTGGCAGACAGCACTGGAAGTGCAGAGGGCTCAGGTGAGAGACACTGTAGGTGGCCTGGCCTGGTCCCTCCGGAGGTGGACATGCTGAGGCTCAGGACGCCTCCCTCTCATCCTTCCATGTCCATCAACTGCAGCCACCACCTCCCCTTTACTCCTCACCTCTTGCAAATGTCAGCTTTATTATTACATCCAAACATGAGAGAGATGTCACAGGAATGCATGGTTAAGACATTTGATTAAGAAGTGCAGGGGTTCTTTCAGATGAAAAATATATTCGATAAGTCTGGTTCATTTGCAAATGAGGACTGAAGTTGCTCATGTAGTTAGATGGAGAATTTTTTCAAAAATCAATTTACCTTACCTTCACATTCAGATTTTTACAGAAATGTATAAATGCAAATGCATAGTGTACTCTAGACATTACTCTCTAATGATCATCCTTCATTTTCTCAAATAGCAACCTAGTTTTAGAGTCAACCTTTTATACTCCATGTAGCAGTGAGAGTAGGCAGTTTATCTGTGTTTAGCTCATTCCATTTACTAATGTTCTTTGGTTCTATCCATGTTACACAGATGGAAGAATTTGCTTTTGTGGGTTCAAATAATATCCCTTTGTGTACACATACTCCATTTTATGTTGCCATCACTCATTGATAGGCACTTACTTTTATTCCACAACTTGGCTGTTGGAAATGGTGTGGCAGTCACTAATAAAGTGCAGGTGTCTCTATAGATGAGTGGATCATGCTGCATCTATGACAGTACATGTGTGTGTGCCTGTGACATACAAATATATTGGAAGGATTGATAAACAGCACAGTTACTCTATTGATGATCTCAGAGGACAACTTTTTATCAAAAATTTTCTCAGGTTATTAGAATAATTAATTTTTGGAGAAGAGAATTCTTTTCTTTGAATTTGTAGATTCTTGTTTGGAAAAGAAGATAGAATGTGCCAGTCTTCATGGACATGTGCATGTAGCTGCTCAGGATACAGGCAGGCACCTTCTGACCTTCCAAGACTTCAACTTGCCCTGGGTTTGCAGGATTCTCTTCCATGCTGTCTGCACATCCTTGTTTCTCAGGGTGTAGATGAGTGGGTTAAGCACCGGTGTGAATACACAGTAGAAGAAGGACATAAACTTGGCCTGTGTGCTCTTGGCTGGAGGCTGGAGGTACATGTACATGCCTGGCCCAAAATACATGGTGACGACCAGCAAGTGGGAACTGCAGGTGCTGAGTGCCTTGTGTCTTCCTTCAGCTGAAGGTAGTTTCAGTATAGCCCTAGCAATAAAGATGTAGGAGATGACCACCATTAGGGGAGCCAGCATTCCAAATGGGATGGCTCCTATGGCCAGGGCCATCTCATTAGCCGTGGCATTCCTACAGGACAGCTTGATGAGGACAGGCACCTCACAGAAGAAGTGATCCAGGGTGTGGTGACCACAGAGGGGGAGCTGGAGGGTGAGTGTTGCATGGAGCAGAGAAATGGCCAGGCCACTGGACCAGGAGATGGCTGCCATCTGCACACAGACCCAGGGATGCATGATGAGAGTGTACTGGAGGGGCCGGCAGATGGCCACATAGCGATCAATGGCCATCATGGCCAGCAGGATGCATTCAGTGGCACCTGTCCAGGTATAAATGTAGAGCTGTGTGATGCATCCCCAGGCAGCAATGGTCTTGTCTGGTCCCCACAGGTTGGTCAGCAGCTGGGGCACAATGGTGCAAGTCACACTGAGGTCCAGAATTGAGAGGTTGTCCAGGAAGAAGTACATGGGCGTCTGAAGTCTGCGGTCCACCAGGGACAGGAGGATGATGGAGCTGTTCCCCACTAGGGTCAGGAGGTAGGAGACTAGGACCACTGCAAAGAGGGGCCTCTCCAGCCAGGGAAACTCTGAGAAGCCCAGCAGGACAAAAGTGTTGGGAAAGCTCGCATTTTCCATTTCCATAGCATATGTGTCTAATATACAGCTGGAAGGAAATGGACAAGGAAGATGAATTTTACTTTCCCATTTCTATAATCCTATGCCTCATTTTTATGCCTTTCCTTTTGTAATTGGGATGATTCCCATAAGTATTAGAAGATGTCATCAAATATCACACTGCTGCTGTGTAAATATATTACCTATCCCTTGACTTTGAAATAGAGTTGGAGCTGAAATGTCCTAGAGGGGATTATTCTAGTCTGATCTCACGATGCTGATAGCTCCTAGAATGCAGACACTGAAGTCTGTTTTGATGCAGTTTAATAAAGAAAAATGTATTTCATGGCAATTGGTCTAGAGTCCTTTCATGTTACAGGCTGACAAAGCACTTATTTGAATTTTGTCCATGCTCTGAGACATTGTGGAAAGCTGGGTTTAAAGGTGACAAACTAATTGGTGTGACACAGGAAGTTTCATGGAGAACAGCACTCAGGTTATGAGATGGGCACTGCTCCATGCTTTCAGCCAGGTTAACAGTGAGAGTCAAGAGCAGAGAGGACAAGAGAAAGATTTCAAAAGCTTGGGCTCAAGTAAGTTATGGTTGCTGCAGACATTAGTGCCATTAAAAAAGCCAAGTACTTTCCAAAGGGCAAGAGAAAAGATGCTTTGAAGGCATCAGCATGGACCCCACCTACATAGGGTGAAGTATATATAGTATAAATCTTTCATTATGAAGAGAACCCTGGAGTGCTGTCCTTGGGCAGGTCTGCCTAGATTGTTGGGTCCCTCAGATTCATTTCTCCATGCTCAGCCATCCAGGTACTCAGAGGCCACAGCAGCCACTGTCCAAGGGGCCCTGGCTCCTGCTCATGTGCGTGTAAGACCTTGGTTTCATGGACACCGTGCTTGCTCTGCAGGTACGAGAATTGCAGGTGTGGTTCATGGAGGCTTCTAGCAGCATTTCAGTGGGAGACCTGGGAGCCAGACTAGTGTGGCAGGGTTCCTATCCCCAGAGGGGACCCCAGAGAGCCTGATGCATGAAACTGTGAGGAAAGGCAAAGCTGCAGTGAGGGAATCTCAGGAATTTAGAGATTCCAGGAACATGGGACATCCTGGGAAGTAAGCTGTAGGCAGGGAGCAGAGGCAGAGGAGAGAGAGGCCAGGAGGGTGCAACTGGCAAGGCCAGGGGATTGGGGCTGCCCCAGACCATAGGCATGCACATCCTGCCACAGGTGTCCTGGGTGCTGGGCTGCAGCTTTGGGATTTAATACTTATCTTTCTGGGTTTGGGTTCCTCCTTGCTATTTTCCTGGAATGGGAATGTTTACCCTATGCCTGTCACACTGTTGGATGTTGGAATTTGCTTTTTTGTTTCGAAAGTAGCTCCCAGCCAAAGATTGCCTCGAGTCCCAGGGAAGTCTCTGGACTTGGAATTTCTTTCAACTTTTTTTTTAATCAGTGCGTACTGACAATGGGGTTTCATTTTGACAAGTTTGCACATGTTGTAATACACTCTGACTTGGATTTGGAGTGATGATGGAACTGTGAAGTTCTGAGGACTCCTGGAGTTGGACAAAGTGCATTTTGCATAGAGAGATGGATGTGAGAAATGGGGGCCAGGAGTGGTTTTTGTGCTTTGGACCCAGAATGTCTGGAGCTAGCTCATGTGTTCAGAGGCGGGGTTTTCAGGGCTGTTTCTTCAGGAATGTTCTCACTTCCTCAGTGGGTTCATCGGGAAGGCAATCTGATGGCATCCATGGGAGGTGAAGGAGCTGGGCCCAGCTGGAGGTAGTGGGCCGTGTGGAATGCCTTGGGCTGTATCTCATCCCTGCCCTTCCTGTCTGGCTCTCTCTGCCCTGCGCCACCATGAGGAGCACAGCTGTCCTCTGCCCTGCCCTTCCACGTGATCCTCTGACCTCAGGCCCAGGGGCAGTGGAACAGCTGACTGTGGAGTGAAATCTGTGGCCCCGGAGCCACAGTAAATCTTCCTCCTTCCTGCTGACTTTCTCACTTACTCGGTCCCAGGGGATGGCTGAGGAGCGCACCCCCTGCCCAGCCTGTCTCCCCTGCTGCTCTTTCTGTCTTCCACCACGTTCAGTAACCACACAGTTCTCGTGACCCAGAGAAAGGCCGTGCTGTGCTGTGGGTTTGACAGCTCCGCAGCAGTGTGCTGCTCCTGCTTCCTCCTCTTCCTCACTGTCCACTTAGGAAAGGATGGGGTAGAGGCTGGCAGCGCTAAATCAGCTATGTAACACTCTGGATAGTTTTTCAAAGGAAGAAACCATCAAGGGGCTTTATTTTAGGCAATGTCTCTTCTACTTTTCTCATACTTTTTACATGGTAAAACAGATGCAGCATAAAATTCATTATTTTATCCAAATTTCAGCACACCATTAAATGGCATTATGTGCACTCATATTGTTCTGCAACACAACCTCCACTGACCCCTAGAATCTTAAACCCCTAGAATCTTATCTATCAAACTCAGGCTGGACCTGCTGAGTAATGTCTACCCAATCTTCCATCCACACAGACCCTGGCTACCACGAGTCCACTTCTTGTGCCTATGAATTTAACTGCTCAAATATCTCAGAGAAACAGGCTCTGACATTATTTGAACTATTGAAGTTGACTTCTCTTGCTGTCACAATCTTTTCTGGATTCAACCATGGGGCAGCATGTCAGAATTTCCCATTTTCAAAGGTAAAGCGATATCCCATTGCATGTATACATCACATTTTGTCTAGACATTCTTTTTCTTTGCAGTACTGGGGATCGAACTTGGGTCCTTGCACTTGTGAGGCAGGTGGCAGCACCACTGAGCTAAATCCCCAGCCTAGATATTCTTTTCCTTTAAAATTAATTTTATTGGATATATCTATATATCTATATATCTATATATATCTATATCTATCTATCTATCTATCTATCTATCTATCTATCTATCTATATATATATTTCATCAAAGGGAATTTGTATCTGTGCACAATCTATCTTGATTCCTTTTTTCCCCAGTTCCCTTACCTTCCTTCTACATCACTCCCCTCCTTATTTGTAGAAGTGTTGTTTCTATTTTTTCCTTCTTTTCTCATTTTCTTTTCCATTTCTTCCCTCCCTCCTTCACTTTTCCCTTTCCTTTAGAATAGTTTCTTGCTATTTTACATTATGTAGCCTATATTTTAGTTCTTATTTACCCGCTCAGTTTCTCATACCAGAGAGCCAATGTGATATTTACAAATGTGTTTGATTGATTTCATGTAAGATTATGGTTTCAAGTTGCATCCATTTAACTATAAATGTCTCAAATTTATCTTCTTTATGGCTGCATAGTACTCAATTATATTAAAAAACTACCTCCTTTTCTGTCCATTTATAGGTTGATGAAGGTTGTTTCTGAGACTTAGCTATTGCAAACTATGTGGCTATAAACATTGGTGTGCATATATGTTTGTGGTAAAATGCTTTTAATTCTTTCAGAAAGATACACAGCAGGGGAATACCTGGGTCAAATGGAATCTCTAATCGTAATTATTTTGAGGAATCTTCACACTGATTTCCACTGGCTGCATACATAAGTCTGTACTCCCACCAACAGAGGGCAAGTTTTGTTTTTCCACATAGCCTCCCCAAAGTTTGTTGTTGGTTGATCTCTTGATAGCAGTCATTCTTTCTGGAGAGAGATGGAATCTCAGGGTTGTTTTAATTTGCATCTCTTGGATCACCAGTAATGTTGAGCATTTGTCACAGTAATTTTGTAGTATAATTTTAATCATGATTCTCCCTGATTTACCTTTGTTGCCCAGAATTGTTTTGGCTGTTTTCGGTTTTGTCTGATTCCAAATGAACTTTAGGACTACTCTCTTTGGTTCTGAGAGGTATGCTAATGCTGCTTTGAGTGGGATTGTATTACATGTATATAACAATTATGGCCATTTTTACTGTGTTCTTCTTCCTACCCAAGAGCAGCAGATATCTTTCAATCTTCTGATATCCTCTTTCTCTTTCTTGGTATTTTCATTTTGTTCATACCTTCACCCTCACTTATCCATGGCATCGCCTTCTACAGCCTCAATTACTTGGTGTCTGCTGTGGTTCCATCATTTCAAAAGGAATAGTTCAGAAATAACAATTTATACACTATAAACATCCCGGACTATGATATTTTTAGCAGAATTTTATTCTCAAAAATGAGGCTCAAATTGTATCTTCATGTTAAAAAAATGAATGCAAAATAAAAGGTTATAGTATACAATGATAAACTCTAATAACAGAAAAGATTTAAATATAAGAACTTCTTTTCAAACATAAGGTTTCCCTGCCTGTGGTATAATTCTTCTATTGGAGTATGAATCGTTATTCCCAGTGTCTTCCTGTGCCAGCTTAATGTACTAACCAGTCATAGCCACATATCCACAGGAGCCACACATGGGACACTTGGTTTGGTGCCCCCTGCTGGTTGGTGTGCAGCGTGCTCCTCCTAAACTGGATTGTTTACCTTGATTTCCTGACTTCTCTCCTTCAATTCTCTGGGCTCCTTAAAGATCTGTGTTTCAAACTGTTTGGTAGATCTTCCACAGGCCTTGGTCAGGATTTCTTCCTGTTGGTTCCTTTAGCTTTCATTTGGATAGGTCATATTGTCCTATGTCTTTATATATTTTGTTAGTTTGGTGAAAAATACATATTTAAATCTAAAAATGGGAACTGCTTCTCTCCCCTTCCCTAGGTTTGTGGTTTGTCCCCTGTGTTTGTTTCTCATGGTTGTAGCTTCCTTGCTTTAGGTTGTGTGTGTCCTGGGCACCAGTTGGGCTGTGGGCAGCCTCTCTCGGGTCTTCCTGAACCTCTGCCTCCTCTGGGCACGTGCCATGAGCCTTTTTATTTTGACAAGAAAACTGCACACCATGGCGTGTTTTGCTACACCTTCTAATGTTCAAGCAAGGCAAGCATAGCTACCTCCTTACACACTTCTCATTTCTCGGTGGTGGAAACACTCACATTCTTGTAGAATTATACGTTACATACAGTAAT